GGTGTAAATATGAAACTATATCAAACTATGGTTTCCTTTCAGCTTCACCTTCCCAGATGGCCAAGTCTTCGATCTCCAGTTCGTCGCTGATCTTAACGGTTACCAACCTCAGTCGTCCTTCCTGCCCGTCGCCCCTGTATTCCCCCACCCAATTCCCGCCCACGCCCTCGAGCAGATCGAGCGTGGACGTCTTGAACTCGAAGCTCGCGCCCGCGAAGAGCAGCGTCAGTCATTAAGCCAAGGACAAGCTGCACCTGCTCGCCACTACGGCCAACCTCAGTAATGTTTTCTACCTGAACTTCAACATGTTCTTGTTACCTGTTATCCTACTCCATTTTTTCTGCCCCATTATATAACGCTATGTAACGTTATATGTTATAAATAAATCTAAATCAAACTTCTGTTGGTATTTCTAAACAATATGGTATCCTGATAAACCTATATAAACAAAAACAAAAAATAAAACTTTCCTTTTCACATTTGGTTTTGCGTGCCAACGTATAAAGTATATATGATTCAGATTTCGATATTTCAGACCACAAGACATTACCAGCTGCTAATGAGCCAAATTTACCAAGCCTAAAACCAATTTTTATTACGAATATTAATAAGCCATCAAATCGGTGAATATATGAAATAATGAATAAAAAGCAATTTTCATATAATGAAAAGAAATATAAACAAGGGAGTTACTTGAAGCTAATAAATTTTTCCCTTCTGTGATCCCCCTGTTCTCAAGATTAACAATAATTAGATCACTTAATATGAAGCAAAACAGTGTCTTTTTCTGCAGTCTCAAAAGTTTTACAGGGATATCAGATCTTCGCTAACAAATTATTTTCCCAGTGTTAGTTTAGTCTGTGAAATAATGTATGTTATGACATGCGATTTAATGGAATTTTAAAAATGGTACTATTCAATGCTGATCGAACTATCAGAAGTTTTAGATAAGACAAAGGTTTAAAACGGATTTTAATAAGCATCTGGTAACAAAGATTTATTTATGGTATCGCGTGTAAAGGAAATATTTACTTCGTCTCAATCATAACTGTCCCCTTATGCTTTACTAGAAACGAAGTAAACTGTACGGTGAGCTATGTTAAGGTTGTCGTCCAGATGGTAAAACGTCTCCCCGGCGGGGAATCGAACCCCGGTCTCCCGCGTGACAGGCGGGGATACTAACCACTATACTACCGAGGAATACATTTTTATTTGAAAGTAAACCTAAATTATTATATATTTAATTAATATCTAAATGTCTTTTCACAATTCTTTTGTTCAGAGTCCTCACTAATTCTGTCATTTCTACCGGTGGTCGTGCCGCGCACCTTTCCTCTGTTTCTATTTTAAAATAAGGAAACATAATTCGTTTATCTCTTAGATTGGTAAATTGTTTTTCGTTTTGTTTTTTCATCGAAAAATTTAAAAATCATGTTATGACTGATTTCTTTCACTAAATCAATCTACGACTTCAATATTCATTTGTATATTTAGTTAATATTGGTCACGATCCCTGAAAATTCTATACTTTTAGTTTAGAAGGACTGATTGAAGTGAAATCGTCATAAACACTAAATCAATAAAAAAGCTAACATTTTGCCTACTCTAAAATCTCATCTCTAGACTCAGATAGAGGACGGACTCATTTACATTTTTTTAATACAAGTAGATATGTAGAAAAATATTTATATTTACATATATCTATACAGTTTTTTCTGGGAGGTAATCAAATTAGATTGATTTCTTTTTCAAATGCAATTATTTTGAAGTTGATATGATCAATCTATTTTAGTATAATCCCTAGGTACTGGAGAGCAGTAACTTTAAACCAGAAAAGGCAGAATGAACTGTATAATTTATGTGTGTGTGTAGTTGTATATGGATGTGTATGTGTACGTGCGTGTGTGTGGTTGTGTGGTTCTGTACATATATACACACTGAAAAAATGTATTTATACTGGAAAAATTCCTCGATTGGCTATCGAATCCCAGTCTCCCACTTATTTATCTTCTTTATTTTATATAAATATAAACTGAGATATAGATTCAAATGCGTGTGTACGTGAACATGTGTGCAATACTTTATATCGATTGCTATATACAACAGGTGCTTAAAAAGCGGAATGTAAATGTTACTTCTTATCGCGACCTACATTTCCTCTAGGAGAGGTATATAAAGGCGCCAGGCCTGCGAACCAGCATCACTTCTTGCAATATCCACTAGAAGTACATCAATATTATCAACATGAAGACAGTAAGTTTGTTTCTTAGCATTCTGGTTCCATGTCAAGCGTCATTTTAAAGTAGTAGTATTATGAAATTTGGTAAAATCAACAATATTTACTAACATATATGAACATTCTAGCTGTTTCTGTCCTTGCTGGTGGCTGTGGCTGCGGCTGAGAGACCGTCCCTCTCCTACGACGCCCCTGCACCACACACATCCTCGCCCGTCCAGCAGATCCCCATCATCCGCGACGAGCGAGTCCATCCTGCCGCTGACGGCACCTACAGCTTTGACGTGGACTGGGGATGGCATCGTCAGGCACGAGTCTGGTGGTCCAGGTGGCGCCCAGCAGGGAACCGTAAGGTTAGTTCATTCACTCCAAAATTTTACACAGAAACAGAAACGTGTGTAAACCTGCTTCGTTTACACAAGGCCTTTAAACGACAGTGAATGTAAAAATCGTCTATGTATATATGTAAATATGAATCTATATATATAACTATGGTTTCCTTTCAGCTTCACCTTCCCAGATGGCCAAGTCTTCGACCTTCAGTTCGTGGCCGATCTTAACGGTTACCAACCTCAGTCGTCCTTCCTGCCCGTCGCCCCTGCATTCCCCCACCCAATCCCCGCCCACGCCCTCGAGCAGATCGAACGTGGTCGACTTGAACTCGAAGCTCTCGCCCGCGAAGAGCAGCGTCAGTCATCAAGCCAAGGACAAGCTGCACCAGCTCGCCACTATGGCCAACCTCAGTAATGTTTTCCACTGAACTTGAAATGTTCTAGTTTGTTATCCTACCCCATTTTTTTTTTTTTTTTTTTTTTTTTGACCCACTATATGAACGCTATGTAACGTTTTGCTATGCACTGAGTGTTTTATATTATAAATAAATGTAAATCAAACTTCTGTTGGTATTTCTAAACAATATGGTATCCTGTTAAACCTATATAAAGAAAAACAAGAAAATAAAACTTTCCTTTTCACAATAGGTTTTGTGTATCAACGTATAAAGTATATGTAACATTCAAATTTCGATATTTCAGACCACAAGACATTACCAGCTGCTATCACCGAAACAACCTAATGAGCGAAATTTAACCACGTCTAAAACTAATTTTTATTACAAATATTAATAAGCCATCAAATCGGTGAATATACAAAATAATGAATAAAGAACAATTTTCTTATACTCATAAAAAGAAATATGAACTAGGGAGTTAATTTAAGCTATAACATTTTTCCCTTCATGTGATCCATCTGTTCATTAGATTAACAATAATCAGATTACTTAATCTCAGGCAAAACAGTGTCTTTTTCTGCAGTCACAAAAGTTTTACAAGGATATCAGATCGTCGCTAACAAATTATTTTCTGTGTTAGTTTAGTCTGAAATAATGCGATTTAATAACAATTGTAAAATAGATTATAAAAGATACTTATATCTTTAAGCTATTAGATTTCCTTAACATTACACTATTCAATGCAGATCGAACTATCAGAAGTTTTAGGTAGGACAAAGGTTTAAAACGGATTTTTTTAAAATAAGCATCTGGTAAAAGAAATATTTACTTGGAAACGAACTCACCAGTCTCGTGTCAATCACAACTGTCCCGTTTTGCTTTACTAGAAATAAAGTAAACTCTACGGTGAATTATGTTAAAGTTGTCGTTCTGATAGTAAAAGGTCTCCCCGGCGGGGAATCGAACCCAGGTCTCCCGCGTGACAGGCGGGGATACTAACCACTATACTACCGAGGAATACATTTTCAATGTTGAAGACAGAACTACAGTAGGATATATTTAATTCATATCAAAATGTCTTCACTAATCCTAATTAACTATGTCATTTTTAACGGTGGCCGTGCCGTAAATCTGGTTACTTCTTTCCTCTGTTTTTCTTTTAAAATATGGAAACAGTTCGTTTATCTCTTAGATTAGTAAATTTTGTTTTTCTTTTTTCATCGAAAGAACTAACAAATCCTGTTAAGATTGATTTTTCTTACTAAAATAATCTATGACTCCAATATTCATTTATATATTCTGTTGATATTGGTTACGATCCCTGGCCATTGGAACTTTTAATTCAGAAAGACTGATTGAAGTGAAATCGTTATAAACACTAAAAAAAAAAAAAAAAAAAAAAAAACAGCTGAATTTCATCCCTAAACTCAGATTAGATGATGGACTTATCTTTATTTTCAAAAGTTTTCTAATACATGTAAATATGTAGGTATACATGTATATGTACGTATATTTATACGTCTTTTTTCTGGGAGGTGATTAGATTAAATTGTTTTCAGTTTTCAACGAATACGAATAAAGATAAACATTTTTTCTTTCACTGCAATGATCTCTAAGTTCATACTTAGATATTCAATATATTTCAGTATAATCCCTAGGTACTGGCGACCTTCGATATAAATGAGGAAATTCTGAATGAGGTGAATTTATGTTCAATATGACCTGTAATTTTGTAGGTGTGTGTGCGTGCGTGCGCGCGTGCGTGTGTGTGTGGTTCTGTATATATACACTGAAAAAATACATATCTATACTCGAAAAATTTCCCGACTGGGTATCGAATCCCAGTCTCCCACTTATTTTTCTTTTTAAATAAATATATACAGAGATATAGATGCACATGCGTGCGTACGTGAACATACATGCAATGCTTTATATCGATTGCTATATACAACAGTTGCTTAAAAAGCGGAATGTAAATGTTACTTCTTATCGCGACCTACATTTCCTCTCTGAGGAGTATATAAAGGCGCCAGGCCTGCGAACCAGCATCACTTCTTGCAATATCCACTAGAAGTACATCAATATTATCAACATGAAGACAGTAAGTCTGTTTCTTAGCATTCTGGTTCCATGTCAAGCGTCATTTTAAAGTAGTAGTAGTATGAAATTTGGTAAAATCAACAATATTTACTAACATATATGAACATTCTAGCTGTTTCTGTCCTTGCTGGTGGCTGTGGCTGCGGCTGAGAGACCGTCCCTCTCCTACGACGCCCCTGCACCACACACATCCTCGCCCGTCCAGCAGATCCCCATCATCCGCGACGAGCGAGTCCATCCTGCCGCTGACGGCACCTACAGCTTTGACGTGGAGACTGGGGATGGCATCGTCAGGCACGAGTCTGGCGGTCCAGGTGGCGCCCAGCAGGGAACCGTAAGGTTAGTTCATTCACTCCAAAATTTTACACAGAAACAGAAACGTGTGTAAACCTGCTTCGTTTACACAAGGCCTTTAAACGACAGTGAATGTAAAAATCGTCTATGTATATATGTAAATATGAATCTATATATATAACTATGGTTTCCTTTCAGCTTCACCTTCCCAGATGGCCAAGTCTTCGACCTTCAGTTCGTGGCCGATCTTAACGGTTACCAACCTCAGTCGTCCTTCCTGCCCGTCGCCCCTGCATTCCCCCACCCAATCCCCGCCCACGCCCTCGAGCAGATCGAACGTGGTCGACTTGAACTCGAAGCTCGCGCCCGCGAAGAGCAGCGTCAGTCATCAAGCCAAGGACAAGCTGCACCAGCTCGCCACTATGGCCAACCTCAGTAATGTTTTCCCACTGAACCTGAAATGTTCTAGTTTGTTATCCTACCCCCAATTTTTTTTTTTTTTTTTTTTTTGACCCACTATATGAACGCTATGTAACGTTTTGCTATGCACTGAGTGTTTTATATTATAAATAAATGTAAATCAAACTTCTGTTGGTATTTCTAAACAATATGGTATCCTGATACATAAACCTATATAAAGAAAAACAAGAAAATAAAACTTTCCTTTTCACAATAGGTTTTGTGTATCAACGTATAAAGTATATGTAACATTCAAATTTCGATATTTCAGACCACAAGACATTACCAGCTGCTATCACCGAAACAACCTAATGAGCGAAATTTAACCACGTCTAAAACTAATTTTTATTACAAATATTAATAAGCCATCAAATCGGTGAATATACAAAATAATGAATAAAGAACAATTTTCTTATACTCATAAAAAGAAATATGAACTAGGGAGTTAATTTAAGCTATAACATTTTTCCCTTCATGTGATCCATCTGTTCATTAGATTAACAATAATCAGATTACTTAATCTCAGGCAAAACAGTGTCTTTTTCTGCAGTCACAAAAGTTTTACAAGGATATCAGATCGTCGCTAACAAATTATTTTCTGTGTTAGTTTAGTCTGAAATAATGCGATTAATAACATTGTAAATAGATTATAAAAGANATATACACACACATGTACACACACACAGACGTATATATATGTGTGTGTTATGTGTATATAATTGTAAGTATTTATGTGCATGTATAATGTGTGGACATACAACAAGAGATTAAATGAATTACTGTTAGAGAAAATAAAATTTATCAGAGTAACCTTTTGCAAAAACATTCCTGAGATAACCATAACCTGTCCGCCTCGTTGATCTAATTGATAGACTTCTTGTTCTCCGTGTTTTTTTATATTAAAGAAGATCGGGTAGTTTGTTAAGATCAATGGAATGCATGGCGATTCACATGACTTCTTAGGACACACACATCCTTTATTTGGCTTCCGTGTTTTACTATATGATTCCTACAGTGTAAATCTGTTGTTTCCCTTTTTTCTCGCCATTGTTCGTATGGGTATCACAAAGGTAACGTGATTTCAATCCCAAGAGAAATGTAGTAATGCCAGTTTCTGCATGTTCTTGTATCATGTGATATTTAGACCATTTTTTTTTTGTGAATTTGGATGTTGGGTCTATCATATTTTCGTTCTTTGAATGAATTTGTGAATTTCAAGTGAAACTTTCGGCATGCTGCAATGCGCGATGCCTAAGGGCGCAACTGATGAAAGTCGATACTGAAGGGAATTTTGAAGTGCCTTCTTTCTCCCTACCTTATTTTCAGCATTAAACCTCTTCAGAGCAGTTAGACAGGAAACAAACTCGAAGTTATAGTTATATATTTATAGATATGTCAGTGCTATATCAGCTACAAATCGTCATGCCACACAGAAGTAACAAAGTGATGAAGAATGGTGTGATGTTGCGAGAACAAATATAGGGATGTCGGAGTTCACAGAGAGGCCACTTTACTGAGGTTGACCATAAAGGCGAGAAGGAGTGGCTTGTCCCTGGCTTGATGACTGACGTTGTTCCTCGCGGGCGCGAGCTTCGAGTTCGAGTCGGCCACGCTCGATCTGCTCGAGGGCGTGGGCGGGGATTGGGTGGGGGAATGCAGGGGCGACTGGAAGGAAGGGCGACTGAGGTTGGTAACCATTGACGTCGGCGACGAACTGAAGATTAAACTTGGCCGTCTGGGAAGGTGAAGCTGAAAAAACAGTAAAACGTGTGAGTGGGCCTATCTTCATAGACTATGGCACATCATTATACCTAGAATATGTACGTGTGTACAAATAAAAGTATATTGATAATGCTATCTACATACGCGCATTTTAATCTGGGAGAGATTCAACTTACCTTACGGTTCCCTGCTGTGCGCCACCTGGACCGCCAGACTCGTGCCTGACGATGCCATCCCCAGTCTCCACGTCAAAGCTGTAGGTGCCGTCAGCGGCAGGATGGACTCGCTCGTCGCGGATGATGGGGATCTGCTGGACGGGCGAGGATGTGTGTGGTGCAGGGGCGTCGTAGGAGAGGGACGGTCTCTCAGCCACAGCCACAACCACCAGCAAGGGCAGGAGCAGCTGGAACATTCATTTATCTGAATAGGACTGGTTAGTAATACTTGACGTAATAACCACATTATTGAAAACCATCAACTTACGGTCTTCATGTTCGATAGTGTTGATGTCCTGGTGTCAGCAGCAGGAAGTGATGCTGGTTCGCAGGTCTGACATCTTTATATACTTCTCAGAGAGGAAATGTGGGTCGCAGCGAGATTTATCGTCTATTCCACTTTTTAAGCTCCAGTTGCTGTAGGATGTATCTTTAATTATTCATCATGAAGTATCAAGAGTTATCATAGTTGAGTAGTAATTACCTTAATTAGGTTTCTTATAAGCTACTGTTCTGGATAAAATTGCTATGGAAACATCCTGTAAACATTCACTAATAGGAAAGATGCCAGGTGCAGCCAGTGCCTTTTGTGTGCTTGTTTTTATATATATGCGGGGATCTGAAAGGATTCTGAATATATTGTATTTTTTCACTAGCAAAAAATCATCACGTCCTACTGATTGTTTACATATA